AAAAAATATAAAAAATAAGAAATCATTTAAAAAGAAAATAATCATTTAAAAAATAAGAAATCGTTTAAAAAGTAGTAAATCATTTTAAAAAATATAAATAATTCGATGATTCAATGATTTCAATATTTTCGAGCTTCCATTTTTATTTCAATCGCTTTTTCCGAATTGTTTCTTTTTGTTTTTTCGACCTGAAAAAAACTAAAAAGAAAGAACTTGGAATGCTAATGACTCATCCGTCGTTGTCTCATCGTTAGGTTTTCCTAAATTTTGTGCGCATTTATCTGATGATATTGCGTTTATTGGTAAGGTTAATTTAAAAAGTTGAAATTTTATAGATTGAAGTCAAAATTGGCAGCAATATTGTAACCGGATTGAAAAATCCGGCATTACCGTAAACGGAATGAAAATTTTCGTACAAAAGAAAAAAAACATTACAACCGGTTGTAAATTGACTAAAGATATGAAATCGGAATGAAATTTTACGACATATAAGTGTAAGCTGAATAATTTATTAGCTTAGACAGAAAAAATTCTTACACATGTGATATTTCCCTACACCATCATTATCAGAGTAATCAATTGCTAATCTCATTAATATAGCTTAGTTGTCATCATACATTGGTAATGTTTGTTTATCATTATGGCTTTGATAAAGTTTGGTTATTATTATGGCTTTAATAAAGTTTGGTTATCATTATGGCTTTGATAATATTTGGTTATGGCATTGATAACACTTGGTTATCATTATGACTTTGATGATACTTGGTTATTTTGATAAAGTTTGATTATCATAAAGGTTTAATTATCATTACGGTTTTGAAGAATATCGATTGATTGTTGATTAAATTGATTACCCTTTATTGATTATTTTGATTAATCATTTTTAAAGTTCAGGTAAAAATTTTAAAAATGTCAATATGTGATAAATCACTCGGTATTTGAGTAAACAAAATTGAAGTTGTTGTTTGTACATGATTTACATTGTCATTATTGGAGGCAAAGAAATGAAAATTAATTACTTTTCATGTTTTCACAAGTATCATTTTAATTGCTTTTACCAGACTCATAAATTCCCAATCCTGGTTTTGGAGTTGATGTACGATTTTTAATTGATGTTGTTGATGGCCTTTGACCCGCCCATAATAGCGAATGTTTTGACAATTCTCCAGATATCAGCGAAGGAGATGAATTCATTTTTACTGCTAAAAAAAGAAAAAAAGAAAAAACGAAATGGACCATAAATTTTGTTAGAAAACTTTTAGAATTTACACAACAAATTACAAATAGAATTGAAATTTTCCAAATTTATATTATCAAATTTAACTGACCGGTCATTTTAACTGCTTCTGACCGTTTAGCTATGGAAGCAGATGTTGTTGCAGAAGAAGTGGAAGCGAATTTTGCTCCTGTCGTTTTTGTCGATTGCAATAAATCGTTGACTGAGCCAATGGCTACAGTACTCGCTTTTATTACTCTACAAAAAAAAAGAAAAAAAATTAGTGCTAATTTTTATGATTAAAAAATATCCTTAATATGATAAAAATATTTTTATCAGTTATTGATATTAATTATTTAATGGAAAAGATAAAATGATCTGATTGCATTTGTTTTAACATTACGTTATCATTGAAAGATATGAATGATTATGATAAGATATGATTAATTAATCAGGAAATTGTCTGGTTTTTTTTGTTTACAATACAAAATTTTTTCCAAATAATTAATCAAGAAATAGCTTAGTTTTTTTTTGTTTTACAATACAAATTTTTTTAAATTTTTTTCAAATTTTTTTCTCTTTCCTTTTTCAAATTTTCATTTCACAAATTTTTATGTTAAAAAAATTAAAATATGTGATGATATCAATAATTGATTGAAAATATATCATTCTTAGAAATGAAAGTAATATGATCAAAAAATGTTGACAAAGTTTATTGACCAAAAGAAACTTTTCATATGAGAAAGTATGTCATGACCTAATTCTGCCGTTAATTATCCATCCTCCTCTCACTAATTACAGACAATTTACAATCCGTGGGATAAATTTGATAATTAGGTGAAAGAGTAATAATTAGTTTAATTATAATTGCGAAATATTTCATCCACTTACTTCATTGCTTTCGTTTTCTTATCCTTTGATGTAAACATCTGAAATGATTATAGTAAACAAAAAAAAAGAAAAAAACTTCTGCAAATTTGATAACTTTTTTTTTTTTTTCAAGAAATATTCAAAAGTGCATAGCTAAAATATATGCTCATCGTAGTTTATGGATGATAAATAAGCTTAGTAATAAGTTAAAATTGCTAAAATTAAAATTTATAAAAAAAAATTATAAAAATTAATTTGAAATCAATTCAGGAAATCATTTTAATTAAAATGTATAACCTTGTTTTGTGTTGGTGTACTTGATTTACTTTTTTTTTGCGCGGCGCATTCTTTACGCTTTTCCTTCTTCAAATCAACACTTCTTGAGATTCGTGTTGCCATCACTTTTGCTGACTTAAAATAACATTTCGTCTGATTAGCATATTCTAAACAACCTTTACCACTATTTCAAACATATAATAATTGAATTGGAAATCTAATAAGTAATTTTAATTCTAATTAATTATTTCAAATTCAAAAATTTTATCATTTTTAAATTTTATTTTATTTCAAAAATTACAAACAAGAAAAGAATTTGTGATAAATTTTTATATTTAATATCACTTAACTTAATTTCTTTTT